TGTGGGGACGTCTCTTCCCGGCCTGGAGCCCTGGGCTGGGGCCTGCTGTGGGGCTGGGACCCCTGCTCCTCCGGGAAACCCCCGCCGCCGAGATTCCCTCCCGGGTTTCCCCGCGGCCCCGGGTGTGGGCCCGAGGCCGGGTCTCCGGGATCCAGCCCCGCCCCGCCCGCGTCTCCCCCTCCTCCCGTCTCGGTGCTGCCTCAGCTCCCTGGCTGTGGGGCTTCTGTGCAGCCGGATCTCGGGAGGCTCTGAGGGACGGTGGTTCTGGGTTTTAGTTGTGATTTTGATGTGGTTTCGGGAGGCGGCAGGGCAGCTGTGACCTACCCGCCATCTTGTTTCCTCGTCAGTCTTTCTCTTTATTTCCTGTCTCAGCACTGGCAGTTTCTTCCTTCCTGTAATGTAATCGCTCTGCAGAGTGAGGGTCTTAAATGGCGGTGCCCTGTCCCGTACCAGGGGCGCCTGTGAAGTTAGGCTGACTGCACCTGTTCTCTGTGACTGCCTCACAAAGGAATGAGACTTACCGTCTTTTCTGTCACACACACTTCTGGGGGGGCAGAGTCTGAATGACCTTCACAAATGAATCAATTTAATATGGAAAATACTGTTTATAACCCACATTCTCTGAATTTGATTACCTTAAAAATAGGAGGTGTGTACTTTATTGGTCCTGAGTTCTCTTGAAACCAACCCAAAACCTCCATCTGACTTCTGGCCATAGACAGTGCTGGCGAGTCCTCATGCTGTGCCTCACCCTGTGCTACTCACTTGGAGGGAGACAAAAGCCTAGGAGACATGGTTCTGCCCTTAGAGAGCTTCTAGTCGAGCTAGAGAAACAAGCCCTAAAATAGAACTCCACCTGACAGTGCATGAATGAGTTCGTGCAAAGCCTGTCCTAGAGGAGAAATCTCTTATTTTCTTGTTCTCAACCCACCTGAAGACCCTGGTATTGGCCTCCCCCAAAAGGACACCCAGATTAATCACACAGTCATACTCCATACTGATGGTTCCTTTGCTTTGGAGTCACTAGTATGTGGAGGGCTTGCTGTCTTACCATCTACTATTGTGTCATGTATGTCTATGGAATAAGGTCTCCTAAAAGGAGGGTGCATAAATTCCAATCCCCAAGTGCTTGTTCCAAGATGACTTTGATCAGGACATGTGACCCAAGTTCTCTCTTCAGGTCATTGTAGTCTGTAAGACAATGCACATCTGGGAGCAGTGAGCAAGCAGGTACACATTTGTACCATAAAACATTTCTGTGCAGTACTGCTAATTAGGAAGCTTAAACTTCTGTAAAATATGGAATGGTACTTATTGCATTTATTGCCATCCAAGGAACTGGTTGAACATAAACTGTTCTGTATGGTTGTATGTAATACAGCAGTCTCTTGGGCAGGTTTTCTATGATCTATGGGAATAAAAGACACTCTTCAAAAACTGGAGGCTCAATGAGCAAACTATTGATTGATCACAAGGGAAAAGAGAAGAAGTGAACAGTTTTGTTTCACAGCTCTGGTCATTCCCCCGAGTATTTTAAATGAGAAAATGTCATTCTAAAGCAATGCATCATTTCACATTATTGTACACCACCCATCGTTTCATTTAGTTCTTTTTAATAACATTCACCTCTGTCTAATTAAATGAAAAAGATAACATTTGTTGTAAATAGTTAAGCTTTTTTAAAAAAAGTCCAGGCCAGTATTCACAAAGATCACATTTTTCTTATAAGGAGGCTTCAAGAAGTTGTTTGGAGTTTTAGGGTTTGAAGTCTGTGCTATCCTTGTGAGATTACATAGGCTGGTAGGACTATAAATTAGCAAAACAACTTGGAAAACAGTTCAGTGTTACCTACTAAAGCCTAAGATTGCATACACGCCAACCTGGCAATGCAACTTCTACACGTATCCCCTAGAATTGTGGTTCTCAGACTTTAGTGTGAACCAGAATCCCCTGGGGCTTGGTAAAACAGACACTGCTGGGCCCCACCCCAGAATTCCTGACTCAGTAGGTCTGGGATGGGACCATAAAATTTGCGTCTCGAGCAAGTTCCCAAGTAATACTGATGCTCTTGGCCCTAGAACCACATTTTAAGAACCACTGTCTTAGAGAGATTCTTGTACATGTACACAAGAAGATATGAACAAAATTTTTCAGAGACATTTTTCCTAATAGTACCAAACTAGAAAGAACTCAAATTTCCATCAACAGTTCAATGGGTAAATTAACTGTGATATATTCATAAAAGAAAACACTATAGCTATCAAAATGAGTGAACTCCAGCTACCTGCCTCAACAGGATGAATTTCAGGAAGTGATTAATGAATGAAATAAATGAGGCAAGAAAGAATGCCTACAGGGTGATTCCATCTATGCGAATTCAAAAGTAAGAAAAAGAAAACTATACTCTTTATAAATGCATACATCCATGGTAAAACTGTGAAGAAAAACAGAAAATTGATTATTGCAAAAATAACACCAGTGATGAGCTGGAGTGAAGGGGGGGGAAGCATACAGGGGGCTTCTTGGTACTAGCAGTAGTCTCCATGTGAACTTGACTGTTGGTTATGTGGGAGTTTGCCTCCTAATTATTATTTAAACTGTATGTTTATATTTATACACATCTGCATATATGATCGATCCCCTAACTAAGAAGTTTTAAAAAATCATTTTATCTTAAAAGAAAATGTCCCCTATCCTATATTTATTCTGGTTCTTTGACACTTGTTTGAATTGTAGGATCTGCCCAATGGTTATGAAAAATAAATCTTTTATGCTTTCATGTATCATTTAGTTATTCTTCTGGGTCAACTATTAAAATAAAGGAATGATAGGATTTTTTAAAGAAAGGTACTCTTGTTACAGTTAAGTACATTTGGTGATATGAACTAGTGATGGACAAAGTGTTACAAAGTAGAAGACCTGTCAGTCCTATTTGGAGAACAGATTAGAATCTTGTGCAGTTAGTATGTATATTGACTGTATGTATATAATAAGTCATGGTGGTCCCTATAGTTAGATCATCTTTTAGAAACTGAAGATAACACACACATGATGAAAGAAACTGAGGGCTCTTAGCCGCAGTTGCGACTGATTTACCTAATTTTCCCCTATACCAATCTCACAAATGCAAGAGTGAAGACTCTTATGAACTATTTCCATTTTATGGAAGGAGAATCATCTTTGAAATATTTGTTTTTGCTTTTTGAAAGGAAGGAGGGATTGAATGTTGATTATATTGTGATATCTTTTGCGTCCAAAAATTCAGAGAGGAGGAGTTGGAAACCTCCGCAGCCCCGTGAGGATCCCAGGAATGCTCCTTTCAGTTTAAGAATGCATATTTAGTCTTTTCTTGATATCATAGTCTTGCTTTTACATTTTATTGGGCTGAGTCTCTTTCTTTACTACACTTTTTAGTTTATCCCATGAAAAACAATTCTTAATCCCCCCTTTAAACGTAAATTTCCTTGTGGCATGGGCTGTGTTTCCCCTATTTGATCATAGTGTGGATTCCCAATTTGCATCTCCCACATGTTAAGTTGACAGCTGCATAATCCTGAAACGCATTCTTGCAATGACTGCCAGTATTTTATGATGACATCCCAGGAATTCAATTGCAGCTGCCTACTGATATGAATGGTATCTTTATTATTTGGTGAGTTAACCAGAGGTATTAAGTGTATTTGTTGCAAGTACAAAATGCTAAAAGAATATATGCCTTACTTAATATAGTGAAAAATTAGAAACAACCCAAATGTGCATTAGTGAGGGAATAGTTAATAGTATACAGTATACAGCTATATAGTATATAGTATATAGTATATAGCTATACTATGGAATACTGTGCAATCCCCCCAAAAAAATACATCTGAATTTTATGTGTCAGGGTCCCTATTAAGCACTTTATATGCATCATTTCATTTAATTCTCCCAGCAACCCTATGAAATTTCCACTCTATAGATGAGGACACTGAGACTTGTCCAAAGTTACACAGTTAGAAAATGGTATAGCAGTAATTAGATGTGAGTTCTATAACACCCAAATTCATTTCCTTATCCATTTAGACTCTAGTAGTTCATGAATGTCAAAGCCATATGTTCTTTTTAAGGAGACTTGATTCGAGATGACATTGGTTTGTTTGTTTTTTGTGTTGTTTTTTTTTTTTTTGCTTAGTTCCTTCATTTTTTTTCAGCCAGCCCCCAACCCCCCTCCCCTCTAACAGTTGTCAGTCTGTTCTCTGTCTCTATAAATCTGTTTCTATTTTGTTTGTTAGCTTACTTATTTTGTTCATTAAATTCCACATATAAGTGAAATCATATGGTATTTGTCTTTCTCTGACTTGTTTCACTTAGCATAATACAACTCATAGATACAGACAACAGCATGGTGATCACCAGAGGGAAATAGGGGTGAGGGAAGTAGAAGAGAGTAAAGGGGGGATAAATGGTGATGGAAGGAGACTTGACTTGGGGTGGTGAACACACAATGCAATATACAGATGATGTATTATAGAGTTGTACAACTGAAACCTATATAATTTTATTAACCAATGCCACCCCAATAAATTCAATAAAAATGTTAAAAAGATGATATTAGATCACATAAATATGAAGAATAGGAAGAGGCTCATCTGATAGTGAAAACAAACATATCTAAAATGTCAAAACTAAATTACTTCCAAAGGAGGTAACTTTCCTGTGCGTTCCATGATTGACACAAGTTTCAAGAGCATACACCAAGATTCTAGTGATGTGTGCAATCCAAGTCAGGGATGTTCTTGTATTTTCAGAGCCACTGATCTGTTTAAAATGTCAAATTATGACTGAATTAAGTGAGAAATCTTGCTTTTGCTCAAACATAGTTATTGATAATTTAAAATATCACTCATATGTTTAATTTTACAACTTTTTATCCTTTTAATATTTACAGATGGACAAAAGAGGAAGAAATCTTTGAGAAAGAAACTGGATTCACTAGGGAAGGAGAAAAACAAAGACAGAGGTAAGGGACAGAATGAACTAGAATGAATACATCTTCCATGGAGCATAATGGTTGAATTTGGTGGGTTTTTTAATTGCATAGATTTACATGGTTCAACTCTATTATGTAAACTGGATTTCTAAGATGGAATGTCATTAAGAACTGTTTTGGTCTACTCCTTTGTGTTTGAGTGGCCCTGTACTGAATTGATGAGTTCATCTGGTTTGAACAAAGTGTGACTTTAGCCAAGTTTATGGTTCCAATTATGATTCTGGCCAATCAGCTATGCATAGAGAGAACCTGGGTTGAGTAGCCATGGATAGCATCTCTAACGTTAACCAGCTGTCTGGCAAATCCAGATATTTAGGCAGGGCAAGTTGAATGAGAAAGAGTTTGGATTTGCCTACCATGACTACTGGAAAGAAACAGTCTCATCATGGGGTACTAAAGATGAGCCATTCTTAGCATTTTTACATTAGATCATAGCATGCTTATTCTTTGCCCTATATGTTTTATGGAATTGTTGACTCTCTTCATACTGTTTTGTATACCCTTTTATGTCTATTTAGGGAATTGACACTTTAGCCACTCTTTCAAAGGCATTTGTAGTCATTTCAAATAATTAATTGAGCCCACACAATGGGCACCTGGCCCCCATTAGCACAGTACATTTTGTGGTTTGTTTCTATGGTCCCATATGAAATGACTGCTGAATGGTGTGCTCATATGAATATATTTTCATTTTATGTGACATAATAAGTGAATGTTGAGTAAGGAGAGCCATATGCCTCACCTCGGAGTTCTTTTATATAACTATCAAATTTCCACTTGAAAAGTAATGGAAGGAAATAAAACTGAAGGTCTAAAAAATAAATGCATTGTGATTAGTATTGGACAAAATCTAGTCCACATCATTGATCCTAGATTCTACACTCATATCTCAAACCATCCTAAAGGGTCCTGACAGTTGGTTCTTTGGAATAAAAGGAGATAAAGAATTCTAAAGAATAGAAAAGCAATGTTTTACTTCCCATAGAGCATGATTTCTCAACCTTGGAATTATTGACATTTTAGACTGGATAATTTTTTTGTTGTGGAGGCTGTCCTGTACATCATGAGAGGTGTTTAGTGGCATCCCTGGCCTCTACCCACTAGATATATGCCAATAGCACCTCCCCCAACCAAAATACCTACAGGCAATTCAAATGTTTACCTCAAACTGGCAAAAAGGCAGTGAACGTGTCTGTGAGTCCCTACCCCTGACTGCACAGTAGAGTGGAACCTTTAATATTTTCAGTGTCTAATCCCATGCCCAAAAAAGTCTGATTTCATTGGTCCATAAGGGTACTGGGCAAAACTAATTTTACAAACAACCAATATGCAACTTCTAAGATGAGAACTCTGCTCCATATTCACCAGTAAACCTAAAGAGCATGTCCTATCACAGTAGAATTTGTTGTAGGAATAATGAAGGCAAAGGGTGCTAACTCTTATCCAGCTACCTATCATTGTCTGATAGATTGTATTCTATTTAATTGGTTCCTATGTTCTTGCCCTGATTTTTAAAATGAATATGAGTAGCCAGGGTAACTTTTGTAAGCTAGTTCTTACTCATTCTCTTCCTTGCATAAACCACCTTTACCTTGCTAGATGAGGGTAGTTATCAGTGTTTAGGGAGTACATTAAAGGTATCATTCAGGCTGCTATTAGTAATGTGGCATCTTTAAAGTTGGTTTATTCTATGATGATGATATTGATACTGGGATTTGAATGCTCATAATGTAGATTTTAGGTGATTCTTCTAAAGTGTCCATTCGGGCTCGACTAAGCAGAATGAGCCATTTTTGTGGGAGATGTTCAAGCTCTCTCAACAGAGGGAGGTGTATGCATGCTTGCTTAGATCACAAAACAGCAGGAAGCAAAAATGCAAGTGAGCCGGGAACGGCCAGGGGAAGTAACTGACCGATATGCACTGGGCCATTGGGCATTTTCCAGGCCAAATCATATTTATATATTACATAGGCTCAGTGAAAACTTGGCAGTGTTCTATAAGGCTGCACAGGATGCTGGCTGGGGGTGGGGGTAGGGCTGGGGAAAACAGGTCCCGATTCTTCCAAAGAAAAGACACATCACCCATCCTAGTAAGGAGAGAAATGTCAAGCTTCATGGCAAAAAAATGTTCTTTCTTTCTTTTTTAAAGTAACTATGATATTTAAAAAGAAGATGTCCTAGGCTTAAATGTAGCTTAATTACAAGGCAACTTTTCCAAACATAAAGTCCTATCTATGTCAGCGCATCCATTGCATGGATGTCCTGGGAACCAGCGTGCAAGGGGGGAAGCATGCAGGTCTTGCACAGTTGTAATTGGTTCACATCATTTTCTTCCATTTGAATATTAGCAGTTGGGTTCACAACAGCTGCACATGTGAAAAAGGATAATCACTTGAGTCCAAGAGTAAAATAAGGAAAACAGGAAACTCTAAATGACCTCTTGGGTTAGATCATCTAAAAATAAATAGGAGCAGCTTATTAGAATCAAATTGCTTTTTCAATAAAGAGTGATTCATTAAATGTTTGGTACGCCACTATACTAATTGATTCAATCAGAATGAATCATGTCCTGTACTTTAGTTAATTGCTTGACTTAATATACAGCAGATCATGTGACACTCCTGCATCACTCCTGCCACTTAAGCAGTGCCCATATGACTTTTGATTTCCATATGAAACTAATTCAGGATTGATGCTGGTTCAGAAAATGTCTTTTCATACAGAATAGTTCCAAGCCCTTAATTTCTCTTAAATTACTTAGCAACAAAGAAGTATTTTTTAAACTTTTAAAACTTTAGAAAATTTCTTGCTTGTATCAAAAAGAAATCACATTGGGGGTAAATGTTTAAAAATAACTACTTTGTTCCATTTAATGTGGTTCCTAATCCGAGCACCAGGGACATGGGTTTTATTGTGGCATAAGTCTGGGAGATAGATCCCCTCTCCACAGGATGTTTTCAGATCGTGCCATATATTCATTGACATAAAATCTGGAGATTTTTCAGGTCTGGTACCTTTCTTTGTGCTGAAATCATACATGCCATGTTTTATTGTTCCTGACTCTTGAAGTAGGTTACTATATGTGAGCTGTGAAGTAGCACTATATAGGAATAGTTGATATAACTTTATTTTGCATCATATTAAATAGCAGTAGAAAAATTAAGTATCAGTTATCACTATGCAGGAATTCTAAAAGAAAATGTATTGAATATTGTCGCTGAGTGCTGTTACTGGAGATGAGAGAATTAGGGTGAGTGTGATTCCAGGGAACAGTAGGAAGGGCCTACCACCACAGGACTTTGTGGGCAACAGCACTGCTTTTGGTCTATATGTTGAGAGTATTGAGACACCATGAAAATAGAGTGAGAAGGTGGTGGCTTAATGGTGTGTTTAAACATTTCCACACTGCAGTGTAAACATAAACTCAGAGTGGGATGAGACAAGACTAGAGAGATGAAGCCTGATTTCAGAGGTGGAATCACTTCTGCTGAGGACAGAGTCTAGGGTAGGATGGAGGGACTAGATGAAAAAGGTGGCATGCCTGAAAAAATGAGAGGAGAGGAGAAGGAGAAGGAGATGTGAGGACAGAGAATCAGATGGGTCACTTAAGTAGACATCCAAGTCACCCAGGATGATGGTAGATTGGGGGGATCATAACCATGAATCAAAGTCAGTGATAATAGAAGATGGCAATGAGCGGGAGACAAGGGGAACCTGGCACTAGCCAGTTCTGCCACACAGTGGGACGGTGATGATCTGGAAGTTGTAGTAGGGAGCAAAGCGGGTGGCATGCCTGAGTTCTTGGGGAGGGAGAGTACACAGTTGCTATTATGAAAACAGCAGGGGAAGTATTCTCCTTAGTGAACGCATACTATCGATAAGAACACGATACACATTGTCCCTGGCCCCGGAACAGTGAGTGTTGGGTAATGTCCTTATGGTTTTAAAAACCTATTATCAGCTTTATTAGCCACTATCATCACAGAGTCTCTAGGTTCCTTTTTATCCACTAATGGAAGAGCTTTGAACCCACAGATAAGCATGAGGTCCCAATACTTTCTTTACACTTAAAGGAGGGTTTTGCTCAATATACTGTGATAAATTCTCAATTTCACAATAGCCATATTTTGAAATTTAAGGAATCCTATCTAGAATTTTACAGAAACTAAACACTGCAACACAAGTTTAGAGGCATAGAGAGGTCTCCTTTCTGAAGCTATAGGAGCCCTCAGGAGAAAGCAACAAGAAACTAAAGAGACTAATAGGAACCGTATTACTAGAAGAATAAACTCAGCTAGGAAAGAAAACCCATTAGAAATAAAACTGTTAGAGGTGGCTATAGCTCTTGAATGGGCATAAAAGAGAAATAAAAGTTTGGGGAGAATGACTTCACATATTTCATCTGTTTCATTTGTACTCAACTATTCTAATTTATAATTAGAGTGACAGACTTTCAGATATTAAAAATTACAGATTCCATAGGAAACCCATTTTTCTTATTTTTTCCTCCAGGGATATTAGAAATCTCTAAATGAGACTGATTGGTTTTCCTTGTATAGGAAATGGGGCTAGGAGAGAAATCAATAGTCCCCATCTCATATTAAAGTCTTCTATGAGCATCCCTGCATGAGCAGACACGTCACTTGATATATTTATCAGCATTTTTTGCTGTTATTATCCCTTAACAGTTTTTATATATTCCATGTAGCTGTCAGCGTAGCCATCCACTTGTTTCTAGACTTTCCCTAACCTTTTTGAAGTCACACTATTTGATTATTCCCATAGACAAGAGAGTACTGATTTGCATAATAAATCCTGAGGTGCACAGCATGTGATCCAATATGGTCCCCCTTGGTTTCTATTTGCTAGTAGTGGAAGTGGCCTTTTATCAGTAGTGAGTATTGGATCTTGCTACACTGTCCATATTGATCACTCAAAACAAATCCCTTAATTATTTTTTGTGTTATTATATGCCACCTAGTTTGTTGATGGAGAATGGTAAGCATCCTGTGAAAATCCACAAATGCTAAGTTTTAATTTTCCACTTCTAAACAAATTGCATGTTTTGATAGAACCAGAGGTGCAGACTTTTCAAGTGCTATTTCTGCTTTTAATGTAGACTTGGTCATTAGCTCAGTGATGTTAAAAATGTTGCCATGGATCAAAAAAGTAAACCTTTTAAAGCTTCTTTCCACCTGATTTAATGTTAGCTTTTTCCTTCAAAGAGCAAACAACTTTAGAAATGTTTTCTCTTGATCACTCTAGTTTTATTCATAGGGGTTATAAAAATAATAGAGAGGCTAGACTCCAATTTGCTGCTGCTAGGAGACCTAATTTTGAATCTAAAAGAAATAATTTAATCATCAATTCTTTTCAGCATGACTCTAAAATGTTGCCAATAAAATGCCTGTCCCTAAAGATTGGCATGCTTACAATGTATGTGTATACAAATTACTACAGAGATCCAGAAAGCAACCCCATGTACATCTCCAAATAAAGCCATAGATTTCTGCATTCTGCTCTTCCCCAAAATTGCCCTTACTAGAGGTTTTAACAAATTGTATCCTGGGCCCTTCACCAGATATTTAATGGTGAGAGTCCATTTCTTCCTGTGGCCAGCAGAATGGCTTGAGTACAGATCATGAGAGTGACAGCCCCAACCTGGCCAACTGGAGGCAGCATGTGGGACAAGCAACGCAATGTAAAAAGAGCACACTTCTTCCCAGTTTGCTCCTCCGTCTCTCTGATTACCATTTCATGTGCTGGCTCTTTTACTAGGAACCTCAAAGTACATCTACTTCATTGAATTTGTCTTTGCTTCACGCATATCTCTATTCTAGCACATGATAGACACTATTACATTTATTTCCATATCTGACTCTGCACTCCCCCACCCCACTCTTGGAATCGTTCAAGAGCAAGGGCTGGACCTACCTTTCCTAAACTTTGTACTCCCCGTTGTGTAATTTGACTTGGCACATAATAGATATTCAAGAAGTGCCTGTTGAATGAATATGTAAATGCAGAGTCTTGCCATGCCGTGTAAACTACAGGGATTCTTGAGACGTATAGATTGAAGACTAACCGTTTGTAAAACCGTGTACTCATGTACATTCTATCAAACACATCACATTTCTCTATACAGTTATTTCCTTTAAAACATGCTTGGGATATGTGGAGAAAAACTAGAGGCTGAGATGTCTAAAGCCTATATTCTTCATACATACTAACTTTCTTTATTGAAATAGAATCTTTGACCACTCTGATAAACACAGTTCATCTTCGTATTTTGATTGAGCAATCAATTCTTCTGAAAACAGTTATTTGAATCTGTCTGCCCTGAGGTCTAAAACATGAGTGAGAGTCTTCACTTGCCCAGTCTTTCTCTGAAAATGAACATTTGTTTTTTTATTCCAGAATTCATCCCGCAGGCATTTGGAATGCCCTTATCCCAAGTCATTGCAAATGACCGGGCCTATAAACTCAAGCAGGACTCACAGAGGGAAGAGCAGAAAGACACATCTGATTTTGTTGCTTCCCTCCTCCCATTTGGAAATAAAAAACAAAACAAAGAACTGTCAAGCAGTAACTCATCTCTCAGCTCCACCTCGGAAACACCAAATGAGTTGACTTCCCCGAACACCCCAGAACCAGCTCCTCGGGTCAGAAGGAGGGTGAGTTGGCCAGTATTTTCTCTGGTGCCAATACTAGGACAACCAAAGATGTATAAGGTTATTTTTTTGAGCCTTTGCTCATGAGAACACTGGAAATGTCATTATTGTCCATGTATGTTAACAACTCCACTCAAGGAGAATTTACACTGGCTACCTGGCACACCCTCAAAGCCTTTCCCTGATCCCTCTCAAAGCCCTTGGGTACCCCTCCTTGTTTACCCATATGCCCCGTGATAGCCTGAACATTCTACAACATCACCATTGATCCTGGTCTATTGCAATCTTCTGTTGTATTAGGTGACTCTCCCATGAGGCTGTGAGTCTTGAAGGCAGGGCTAGATGTTTTTGTTAATCTCATCTCCATCTGAGAACCATGCCTGGCCCAGTGAATTGCTGCCAGTCTTCATAAACAATGAGATTTTTCCTTATCAATGGAACTTTCTTTTTCTCAAACATAACCATAGAAGGATATATATAAAATCAATACTGTTATGGCACCATTTATTAAGTGAGTACTATGTCTAGGCACTGTGCTATTATTTGGCATTTCAAATTTCACATTTCAAGTAAGGTAATGTGAAATGTGAGTTTTCAAGATAACTGATGGGTGATTGGCTGAGTCAGTAGATAAGCATTTCTAAAACTTCGTAGGTTATTGGGAGATCTCTTATTTTTCTCTCACCTGGAGGCCCCAGAACTTTGTCACCTCCAGCCATTGACTACGGCCCTAGTTAAAACCCCAGACTTCTCACTTGAAATCCTTATTTCTCAATCAGCCCCCAACATTCAGGACCTCTCTAAGATAGAAGAGTACTTGAGCCACTGTTATTTTTCAAGACTTTGGTTATGTGTAAAAATGAAGAAATGACAATATTATGGAACATTTGAATTTGCATGATGAAATTGTTCTTCCAATCCTGTCATTGTCCCTCAGACTATCTGTATAAACTCATATATGGCAGTAACAACAAAACTCTACATTAGAGTTTTCTGAGAATCTAAGGCCACACAATTGGCCTCTCAAATGCCCTCTCCTCAGTTCAGGCCTTCCCAAGACACCATCAGCCAACTTCTTCCTCTACACTTCATCAAAGGATGCGTGGCTATACAAACATGGTTAGTGCTCTGTTCCCTTCCCCTCGGCCTTTACCATTCCTAGCCTGCTTGCCCTCTTTCTACCTGCCAGCACCTCATCTCTTTGCTGAGGGCTTTCTGTAATGGCCAGAGGAACCTCCCATGCAGATGACAGGCTGCGAGTACTGAGGCATTAACATCACCTTCCTGCCCCTACCAGAAGCTACACTTAATCAATGATTCTTGAGATTTGGAGTATAAATACCTCAGCTCCCTCACACCTTAGCAAGGCTGGCTCAGAGATGTTTGATCCACACTGTCTCCCAGAGGTCCCCATGCAATTGGACTCCAGCTGCCCAGAGTGGTCACAGGCTTGGTTCGTCAATAGCTGCTTTTCCTTCCCTTTCTTATTTCCCCACTCCTCTGCAGGTGTCTCCTGGGACCACTTCCCTAATGAAGTACTTTGTGCTGTCTCTGGGAGTAAACAAACTAAGACTGTTTAATGGAATCCTCCTATTTAAAAAAATCTGCTTTCTAGAGTCATAGTTGAGTTTTTTTTTATTCGCAAGACTTCTCTAACTACCTCATTCATTGAGTATGTGAGGTTTTTGTGTTTTAAGGAATGAAGTGGTTGGGTTAAAATGTTTTAATTATATTTTGCCATCTCTTGTCTTTCATTTAGAAAATGTCTATTGTTAAAATTGTAACTGCCATTACCTTACCCTATGTCATGGACATTTTCTAACTTTTTCAAAAGATGTTTGTTTGTCTTTTCCCTTTCAATATACAAACAGCACAATTAAATCAAGCAGTATTATTTCAAGTATGATAAATAATTATAGGTGAAAGTATTTCTGGATGGCATCTGGGGGAAGCTGTTTTTATTTTCTCTGTCTGCACTCTTTGTTCATATCTATGTGTGATTTGCAGGGTGCAATGTCAGTGGACTCTATCACAGATCTTGATGATAATCAATCTCGACTGCTAGAAGCTTTACAACTCTCCTTGCCTGCTGAGGCTCAAAATAAAAAAGAAAAAGCAAGAGATAAGAAACTCAGTCTGAATCCTATTTACAGACAAGTTCCCAGGCTGGTGGACAGCTGCTGTCAACATCTAGAAAAACATGGTAAGAAGACTTCTCTATCAGTGAGCAAGTACTAAAGACTTTTATTGATTCAAACATCATTTATTTAAGCATCCATTTTAATTCTGGGTTCATTTTATCAAACTCTGGGCCCAAGTTTCCTTTGTGAAGATAGGTTATGGGTGTGTTTGCTTAAGAGATTACTGGGCTAACCAAGATTTTAGGGGAAAATCTACTTGATGGCCTTCAGACTGCCCAGACCCCAAGAGTCTTCAGAAGTTACCCTTGAGGCCAAGCAATTTGGGGGAGGGCAAGATCTGTTGGACTAGGTCTGTCCTCAGAGCCCCCTTCAAACAGAGCAGAGCCACATTTATATTTTTTTATACATTGAACTTACTCAAAAGGCTTCCTTTTAAAAATAAGAGTTCAGCTTCTTAAAAAAAGATTTGAAAACCATTCCTTAAGTGAATAGAAAATACATAGTTTTTTGACAGCAAGTTTCTATATTGCTATTTCATTTTTGTGGAAGGATGTCCACTTAAAATTTCTTCACAATGACCCTTTTGGCAACTCAGTTCCAGACAGTATGTTGACTTAAAAATACTGTACAGTTCTTTACAAATTTTACTGAAATTTAGACTTTGCTCATCAAATGGCCATTCCCGTAATCTAAATTTGTTTTCTATAGTGACTGTCTTAAAGCAAGGTTACTGAATGCCTAGACTGTATCTTCTCTTTGAGGAAAATCACTGTGAGGCTTATGTCAGAAAACAGCATTGGCTGTCTGAATGCTGTAATTTGCTATATCTGAAAAGAGTAAGCAAATAATTTTTTAAACTTAAAATAGATCATAATCAATTGAGATGTATTGGAATTATAACAATTGATAACTAAGTAGTTATTTTATAAATTAGAGTCATTTTTACCAGTGGAAAAGTACTGTAATTGAGAAAATCATATCCTGGAAATAGACATTTCTAAATAGCCTGGAGGAATTCAGCCAAATTAAGAATCTCACCTGTATAGAATATGTCCTTATGTATTATCTCATTTATGTAGAAACTTCAACTATCGGAAAACCATCAGAAAATAAAATAAATGTGGCCAAAAGTACAATTGCTGGGACCTACTATTGTATTAAAATTTTACATTTTGTACAAAGAAGACTAACTCAGTTCACTGAGGGCATATTTCTCTTTACAAAATAGTTGAGGACAGGTATGATTCTAAGTAGATTTTATGCATTAATTAATTGCATCACTATAACTTTTGAGGTGGATACATATTATGCTCATTTCGTAGATGAAGAAATCTAATTCTGGCCCTGGCTGGTGTGGCTCAGTTGGTTGGGTGTCGTTCCTTGCACCAAAAGGTGGCCAGTTTGATTCCCGGTCAGGGCACATGCCCGGGTTACGGGCTCAATCTCCTTAGGGGGCGAGCAGGAGGCAGCCGATCTATGCTTCACTCTCACATTGATCTTTCTTTCTCTCCCTCTCCTTTCCTCTCTCTCTAAAAATCAATGAGAAATCCTTTTTTAAAAAAGAAATATAATTCTGGATTTGATTCTAATAGCTTACTTATCCCATTTTCAAGCTCCTAGAGAGGTGGAAGCAATAAATTAGGCTGGGGTTGGACTCATTTGTGAGGGAGGCACATTGATGACAGCAACAAGAGGGTACAGAAGTCTTTTGAAAATAGATGCAAAGCAAAATCCCACATAGGAGCAAAGCTCCAAGATAATTAGCCTCTCTCTCACCATGATTCTCTCAAATTACTCTGGGTACCATTTATAAGCTATAGAAGTGATAAATGGGGTATTTATAGATGTTATCATTTCTAACTAACAATCCTTGGAAAATGAACTAAAAAGTCTTGTACTTAATACATAATTGGCAAGACCATAAATTAAATATACAAAAAGGTTGTATCAGTCAGAACTTTTTCAGTGGCAAGAGAGAGGAACCTACATAAAATTAGATTAAGTAAAGTACCCTCCAAAATTCCTATTTACATAGTGGAAGTCTGAGTATTATATGTAGGTTCAGGCACAGCTGGATTCAGGACTCAAGTGATGCCTTGAGCACATGAGTCTGTTCCCTGGCTTTACTCTCAGACCGGCTCTCTTCATGTAGCTAGGAAATGGCCACTGAGAGCTCCACTTTGGCATCACCTCCTAAATGATTATCCCAAATGGAGACAGAATGAGGCACTGATGGAAGAAGAAATGTAGATGATGAGCATCAGAGGCCATAAACAATGGCTTGTGCAGTAAGGGAAGCTCTTCAGACATTCTGCGTCCCTGAAGGAAGTACATAATACCTCTTAATCAAAATCAAACAGGAATTGAAGAAAGCTCTGGCTCTAACTATGTCTTCAGAGGAAATAAAAGGGAAAGAGGAACATACAAATGACACTACAAGTGTCCAAGTCCAGATGATTGGGAAAACTACAACAGGAAATCAATGCTGTTTCTTCATGCAACCAATTACGAGGCAGAAACGCATACAGAGAGGGGAACACAGACATTAAGAGACTAAAAGGCACATTGACCTATCACAGCTTGTGAACTTGATGTGAATGTTGACTGTAAATTTAATGATATTAAGAAACTATTGTTGAAATTTCTAATGTGTGATAGTGATAACACTCATTTGTTTTAAGAGAACTACTTTATTTTACAGCAGGGTCTCTCAACCTCTGCACTACTGACATTTTGGGCCAGATAACTCTTTTTTATGCATTGACCCTATAATCCCACTTCTAGGACATGATCCTAAGATGATTAGAAACGTGAACTAAGACCTAGGTACAAATGGTTCATAATAGGGCCATTTATAATACAAAACAAGTGCATGTATGTTGGGGGACCTACGTGCCATTCAGAGGGGACTATGAAGTGAATTGTGGCACATTCATACTATAAAGTATTTGCATGCATTTTAAATGACATTTACAAAGAATTTTTAGTGGCATAAAAATTCGTATAGCATAATATTGAGTGAAAGCAGTAGCATTCTCTCTCTCATTCCTTCTCTCTCCATATATACAGGGAATGGCAAAAGTAAGCTTACAGTTGTGAGTATGCAAAGCAGTTTATTCTTGTATTATTATTTATTAATTATTGTATTATTTATTTGTATTACAACTGTAAGCCTACTTTTTCTCACCCCTGTATATATGAAGAAATGTCTGGATAGAAATAAACCAAAATATTAAGAGCAATTATTTCTGTGTCAGGTATTTTTTTAAAGTATATTATTTTTTACATTTTTCTGTATCTTATAGATTTTCTTCAATAAGTACGTGTTTTATTTATGACCAGTAAAACAGAACTATGTATTTTAAATATTGATAAAGAGCTAAAATTCATATAAAATTCATGATTAAGTAATTATTCTGAATAATATGAGAAATTGTGACATTTTTCTCATATGGAGGTATGGAAGTACATAATATCACATGAAAATGTTTTTTATCAGAAACGTTTAACATAAAATTGTCCTAGTGCTTACTGTGCTAACCTGTAGTACCTGGAGAATGTAGCGGAGATAAATGAGCATTCATGCACAGTCAAGTTGCTATTGCTCTGTGTGTTGCAGCCCAGTGCTCGCCTTCTGTTCTATTTCTATTTTGATTTCCTCCAGAGTTTCAAGCCATAAAACAAGACTGTTGATTTTGTTTGTTTACTTTCAGGCCTCCAGACAGTGGGGATATTCCGAGTTGGAAGCTCAAAAAAGAGAGTGAGACAAGTAAGTAAAAAGTAAAGATTATATTGTATGTTTTATTTGACTTTCAATTGAATTACCTCCTGCCAAGTTCAAGCTTATGCAAATTCATTTCTGAAAATCTTTTCTGGACCTTCCTTCCAATTATAGTATAATTGAGTCCCACGGGGTGAAAGGCAACAACTCAGAAGCTCAGAAAGGTTGTGAATGTGTAAGGATCAAATACTTGAAAGCAAAACGTCCAGACTTGTGCATGGCGTGTGCAGCCAAACAAAACTAATTTATAGATATCATATTGAAACTGTAAAAGCGGGAGATTCGGAGAGTACCTAATCAGTAAGTGATAAGAAATAGAAAAATTTTTATAGCACCTGTTTTTACTAAAATGCAATATGAATAATGCCATTAATATTCATATAATGCTATGTTTATAGCTGTACTTTCTCAAAAATAAATAATTCTTATAAAGTTTCTATGGAACCACTGACTCCCAATTTATTTTTCATGTAGGGACTGTCCCCTTGATTTCCTTTAGCACCCACTGTGCAGCATTCTTGCAACAGAAGTTTGATATTAAAGCTTCAGGAATAGGTTCCTGTGATCAGGCAGGTACCTGTGTACGTGATGGCTTCATAAAAGGCATGCCATCCTTTGAGAAAAAATGTATCTGTTGGCTTAAAGACAATTAAAATGTTATTTTCCCTCTGTTGGTTTCAACAGAAAGGAATAAGGAACTCAACAACTTAAAAATGAAGCCAAATCAAAATAATTTTTAGTTGGATGATTCTGAAGAAATATTTATTCATATTATTTTGAAACTAACTGAAATACCTCGTCATCTTTTTTTTTTTCAAGATAAGAGGAGCTTTCAAATAAGTGTGTTTTCTGTTTGGTTTGTCAGTTGGTTTTTATTTTTCATAGTCACACAAGAGACTATGTGAAATTCCATTTCACAACAGGGCTTGCAGGAAGGAAGATAGTGTAGTTACATTTCTTAGGCCTATGCAGAATTGCAGAATATTTTCACAAACATCTCATTGAATCCACTCACCAGCTCTTAGAGTAACCCCTTTCAAACACTTCTTTTAAGGATTAGAGAGATTAAGAAACTTGAGTCAAGATCACACAATTTAGACCAAGCTCTTCCCGTGGTCCATTGTTTGTGCATGTGTGTGTGATCAGAATAGAAACATGTTGTGTTTGAATGATCACAAGTAGGAATGGCACCAGTAGAAGCCTTCTCTCTGGCCACCTGATTCACACTATTGAGAAGTTGCCTGGACAGTAATTCAGGACAGTAATGGGCATTTTCATTAGGTGGAGAGGTGGTGTCAGGAATCACTCCTCAGTTATATCTGGGTCCAGCAAAAGAAAACCTTTGCATAGAGATTATCCAATAAAAATATAATTAATGGTTATTTAGACTTAGATTTCAAGAATGAAAAATTCTCTAATTCACCATTTTATCTTGTTATATTTCTTCTTAGCATCCTACACTTTTTCTTCAGGTCAATTGTCACAATATTAACAGTTAATCAATCATTCGTCAGATTACCAGGTTATTACCTGTTTCTCTATCAGCCCGAGAGCTATGGAAGGGTAAAGACTGCCTCTTCATTCACCTGAGGGCCTCGTACACATGGAGTGTGCAGTACATCTTTCTTGAATGAATGCTTGACCGCATGAACTCTTACAGAAGTTTATTGCGTAGAATAGATTCATGAACTCACATAATTACTTGTTCAGCAGAGAACAAGACATAAGAGAAGTTGGGCTGTCAGAGATGAAAGTAGGGTACAGAGTTATGACTCCCTTCTTCTTGCTATTGTGTCCTCCTGCTGCTGTAAATGCTAATAAACCTGGTATATTGATTTAAGGCAGGAATCCTTCTGGGAACTGTTAATAAGGTTACTTTGACAAACAAAAGGCAGCTTTTATTTAGTTATTGTCATCTTTCAAGACTTAGTCACGAACAGCTCATCAGGATTTTAAATTTCATTGTTTGCAGATTTAAATTTCATTGTTTGCAGTTTTAAATTTCATTTTTTGCTTTCCTGTCGAGTATTTCTGTAAAATCAAAATTCCAACATGGTAGGATTGCTGATATGCAAAACTGCTCTATAATAGATTAATTCCTCCCTCCCACATTTATAGTTGACCTAACCTCTTAGCTCTTCCTCCCAACCTCTGGATGTCATTATCAAACCCTTCTGCTTGCATCATTAACAGTAAATCCACAGATACTTTTATTTAATAATGCGTTTAATATATATATTCATGGCTGGGTTGCATAGACTCTTAGATCAGGACAACATCTTGTTTGCATCTCCTCCCTGGGTGTGCATAAACTTAATACCAAATGCTGTAGGTCACAGCACATCTATTGCTGGGCACTGAACATAAAGGTATAGTGTTACAAGACTGCCACTTGAACTGTTATTTTTCCAGTTACGCGAGGAATTTGACCGTGGGGTGGATGTCTCTCTGGAAGAAGAGCACAGCGTTCATGATGTGGCTGCCTTGCTGAAGGAGTTCCTGAGGGACATGCCGGACCCCCTTCTCACCAGGGAGCTGTACACAGCTTTCATCAACACTCTCTGTGCGTAGTACAGCCATTAGCAGGAATGTGTTCCTGGATTACTGAGATGTCCCACTCACTCATCCAAACCTTGTGCATGTGTTTCCCAATAACTTTTCTGTCCTTATTTATTGGTCTCTAATGAGTAGGCTATTTGGGCAATTTTCTGAGATTTACCCTGGGGAGAATTTGCAAGACGAAAGTTGCAGTAGAACCAGTGGATATAGCCAAGAAGAATCTGGGATGCTTTCAGATAACCCCACAACAGTAGAATGCGCTATATAGTGATGCTTTGAAGTAAGAGCAAGAGTTCACATTATGTCTGTGCCTAAAAATGAGTTCACATTTCTTGTATGAGGAAGGGGTGAAAAAGGGACCCAGCGTGAGAAAGGGGGGCAGGCAACACCCCAGGGAAGCAGGATGGCATAGCCGAGTGCCAGGGCTTTCCGTGTGGCCGCTTCTGGGCCATATGCACAGATCCCATGGACAAGAAAGGAGGGCGAGAGGGAGTAGGAATAGGCCAGAGTTGTGGCAGCCTCCATATCTTTCTTCCTCCAATGCTGCAATTCAAATAGGATCCCCAAAGAGAGAGAAGACACTGTCGTTCTGTATCTTGGTTATTGCCAACAAAAAGTCTATCCCTTGAGTATTGCTCAACAGAAAAGGGCCTCAAATATGTTATAAACTCAAATTTTAAAATGTTTACCAATTCTCAGTCATTGTTAGTAAATATTTATGAAAAATGAAAGATGGTAATCCATAAAGTAAATGATGAGTAATGCCAGGAAAAGGAGGGAGAAGAAAGAGAAATTAAGTTACCTTTCTAACCTAGATTATAATGCTCGCTCTAGATGTAACATTTCCCCTGGTCTAATTTATCTTTGTATCCTTTATAGAACCTTGCTGCTAAATTGCTAAATCAGTGGGAGAGTGGGTGAAGGAATGAAATGTGACTTGATAATCCCTTTCTGAAGGAAGTTGAGAGGGGGCCTCTCCTCTGAGCCTAAATAGTGTGAGTACCCCCATTTTACTTACTTAGAGCACCTCTTTTTGCCTTGCTTAGTGTTGGAACCGGAGGAACAGCTGGGCACCTTGCAGCTCCTCATTTACCTTCTACCTCCCTGCAACTGTGACACGCTCCACCGCCTCCTACAGTTCCTCTCCATTGTGGCCAGGCATGCCAATGACAACGTCAGCAAGGATGGCCAAGAGGTATGTACCCCTCTGTTCCATAGATACTGTGACTCTTCCCTTTTCTTGTTTTAAAAGGGCAAGCCATCAATTTGGTTAAATATTTCACCTGGAGGAAATGACACCACCTCCCCCTTTCCTGACCCATCTATGTAGGAAGGACTAATGCAGGGTTTTCTCTGGAGGAATAGTTCCTAAGAGTGCATAGGCCATTAACCTCCTATGTTTCAAGGATGCTTCTTAATGAGGCAGTCATTTTTCATGATGATGCTTTACCTGAAGACCTCAAATTTCCACTTGTGTGAAGCAGACAAACAATTAGCTACAGAGGTGCTTACAATCATGAGAAAATGGAGTAATGGAGATGAGGGGAGATTGCTGTCCTTGTAATTAATTTGATCTGCTTTAACTTGGAGCTGAAATGTGATGTCACCTCTTTATTCTTCCAGTTTGTTCCTGGAGTTCCCATCTGCCCTATAGTTAGAAGTATAGTATCTTCCTTTTGGAGAGGTCCTTTCTCTCCTTAAACCCTCCCCAAAACAGGGACTGGCCCAATGCAATGGAATGTCAGTTTTCCTGCTTCTAAACCAGATGTAGAAGGAACTAGAAGGTATGATCTGCTGACCATTGCCATGCATCGTGATGTCACATGGTGTCAGCTGCTGAAGACAGGTTCTGCAAGGTCCCATGGACCCTTTTGGGATGTTCTTGTTGGACCTGATCCCCACTCAGGCCTCTCCCATCTGAGCTTTTGGGCTCCGGTTCACTTTGGTCACACTCATATGCTTCAAGGTGTTTTTAGGTTTGAGCCTTGGATAAAGGAGATACTTGCCATAATTTTAGGTGACCTTTTCGCAACCAGCCTATTTAATCTTCACCTTAACAAGAGACCTGTTTCTGTTTTTGATACTATGCAGTCATACTTCTCCTTGCCCTTGGATTCCCCAGGATATCTCAGACCCTTCAATATGCTAACATGGGTTATAAATCAACAAGAATGGGCCAAAGGCATTGACACTTCACCACAGAACTCAGCTGTATTGTGAATTCAGTTCTATGTTTGGCAAATTTCTTTCTCAAAAGTCATGGTCATATATAAATTTTTTCACTTTAATCCAGAAAGGCAATTCTGCATGTCTTATCCTCATGCTCCCTTTAGGTATAAGAATGGAACTTTCCTGAGTTGGCCATTTATCTGTATAGTAGTTATAATTAGCAAAACCTCTGCTGGCTTCAGGTTTCATAATATGGTACTGACACCTTGTTTCAGCAGACGCAGCTCTTTGATGGATACACTATAATTCCCATAATTGTTGAGTAGTTATATTACCCATCTGGGTGTCATCCTTTATTGACTATAGATATAACAGAAGCTGTAGAATCATCTGCCTAATCACTGGGTAAAGGCAGAGTACTGTCTATGTTCCTAGGTGTGTCAGTGCTTCTCTGATGTTTCTTAAGTACTATGTAAGAAGGAGAAAGTTGGGTCTCAGGTGATTAAGAAGGAATTGAGGAAAGCAAAAAGTCCAATTGAACTCACTCTTGCTTTTTTAGAATCATTTCAGACACTTAGTTCATTGCCTATGCCAAAGAGAAGGAAATATTCTTGGATAGGTACAAATGAAAGTTAGCATGCTGAAATACTAGCTACCAATTATGTGTCTCCTACCATGTGCTAGCTATGTACTAGGGGCCTTTATTATAGTTAATCCTCCATTACACAAGGGAGAAATCCTTGCCCCTGTGTTTAGAGGTAGAAACTGTGGGTTAGAGGCATTAAGTACCTTTCCCAGTGTCCCACAAGGAGCATCCACTTATGGTAATACAAGTTGTGCATGTGTGCATTTCACAACTCTGGGGAGGTTCCATGTACCTCAGAGTCACTGTAGATTTGCAGAATTATTAGGACAATGTGCCAGCAGAAGGCAGCAAAATATCTTGAGGAAGAGATTCCTTTTTCTAATTCACACAAAGTTGTCATGTTGGATAGTGGTTGGGTCGGCCCCATAATTAGTAAAGTCCCAGCTGTGCCTCAAACCCAAACCAATATAACTTACTAAGAACAGAAATATAGAATAGGAAGTAGAACGGACCTACTAGTCTAGTTCAGGGTTTAGTTCAGAATCTCACAGCCTCCATATAATTGACATTTGGGACTACATAACTGTTTGTAGTGGAAGCTGCCCTGTGCATTGTGGTATGCTTAGCAGTATCCCTGGCCTCTACTCACTTGATGCAAGTAGCAGCAACTTCCCATCCCCATCCTAGCTGACACAACCAAAAGTGTCTCTAGACATTGCCAAATATCCTGTGGGGTGGGAGAGGGGGCAAAATCACCCTGGTTGAGAGCACTTGGTAGCTTTATAACTCACTGACCACATATTCTTGGAGAAATCTATTAACCTTCCTAAGCCTGAGTTGTCTTATCTGAACTTTGGGAATACAATTCTTCAACTGACACTGCACAATAGTTCATAAGACTAATTATTATAAGGAATATGAAAATATGCTGGTAACAGCAAAGTTGTACAGGGAAGTGGGAGATTCCAAGGGTCTCTAGACAGTCTTGACCTAAACCTTGAATCAAAATGAAAGATTAGTAACCAAAAATTAAAGCTTCAGGGAAAATATGAGGAAAGCATTGCTTCTGTGAAATGGTTATGAGTTACAGGAAAGCAGGTAGCCCACACAGTCATCTTGGATTGGAGTAAGGCTACAGTGTGGGAAAGTACTGATGAGGTATAAGGGGAAATTGGGCTATGTTCATAGAGTAGTGAATACCTTTGTAAGGAGGGAGGTAATTGATTCTTTTAAGACCTGACAGAATCTTTGGATTCCACTTAGGTGTTATAATCCTTGTTGTAGATTGGTTAGAAGCAGGGACAGAGTGAGTTAAGAAGCTTTTGTATGAACAGCAATACAGAAAACAGCAATTTGCATTATGAATGTTTCCATGTAAGAATGGCCTTGGTATTTGAACCACATACATCCTGGGCACCTACCCTGAGTTCCTCTAAACCACTGAGTGTTGGTCAGAAATTTTCTAATTACTGTTCCTGAGATGCTGTGGCATCTAGGAGGTGGAGGCCATGAGGACATGAGGCAAATATAGAATCAGGGAATGCAGTACAGTCACTGCAGAAGTCCAGAGAAAAAGTGATGAACATGGGCCAGAAAAGTTAGGAATGGCTTCATGGAGGAGAGTGAATTTAAACTACACTTCAAAGGGTGTGTAGGAACTGAGTAAAGGGTGTGTAGGGATTGAATAAACAGACCACGTAAGCACTGCATAGAGATGGGAGTTAGCTAAAAACCCCTTCTGGTAGAAGTTAAGAGTAGAGGGAGAGGAACAAGAGAGAGTTCCTTTGTTTATTATTTTTTCAGTTGTTTTGACAGCAGCTGGTAGAGAATACAGAAAGAGCAGAGTGGAGTGAGGCAAAAATTAAATTGTGAAATATGGTCAAGAAACAAAGCCGTTTTCAGCTTTTTGTCTTACCTGTTTATTAATTTGTGTTATCTATTTATTGGGTAGTTGTTACAGATTGGAACGTAGAAAACTGAACCAGAGAGTCAAAAAGCTTGGTGGCTCACACGGGCTCCGCCAGCACCTTGCTACAGGACCTTGTATTTATAGGGTAGAGGAAGAGGAGGGGAAACAGAGTTGGGTTGGGGGGAGGCCTGAGCTTCCTCCTTTATAAAATGAACATAATATTTCCTTTCTAATGGGTGCTTAAAATTCAATGCACCATTAACTAATAGGATCTTAAAGATGTCTAAAAGAAGGGCATGAGAAAAATTGTTGACTAGTTAGTCAGTGCTTTTCTTGGGTAAAATAGTGGTATTTTATCAAATAGCATTGTTTTTCTATCTTGTGTTTGTTTGTTTTATTCCATTTTGTCTAGTTTGCTATTTGCTTTGCTCCTTAGGGGAAAAAATAAATTCCCAAAGTATGAAAGATTTAATTTCTTCTAGAAAGAATATTGCAGGAACATAATTGAAACCTCTTGAGCAGTGGTTTTCCAGGTTGTCCAAGAACCCTCTGGCATTGCGGAAAATGTGGTGTGAATATACACTTTTTTGGTGAGAGAGTTTGAAGCTGGCCTTTAGTTTTCAAAGAGTCTATGAGGCAAATAGAGAAGTTACTAACTGCCAAAGTAGAGCCAGGATTGCTGACCTTTGAGGAGGTACATGCCTCCAGGAAATGGGAGGCTGGCTTTGGAACTGTAGCAGGATCAGTGCCGTGCTCTTCTCACCCCAGCCCAGCCCTGCTTTGAGGCCACTGTTTCATTTCCCCGTGCTGTGACAGGGTCGGCCACTCAAGTGTGAGCAGTGGGAGGTTAGGGTGGTGATGAAGAGCATGGGGCTTCCTGGAGCCAAGCCACCAGCTTCGCTTCCAGGCTCCACCATCTCCTGGCTGCGGGCTCCCGGTGTCACATCCCCGTCTGAAAAAGGGCAGAAGCAGCAGCTGCTTCACGAGCTTCTAGTGAGAAGATTGAAAAAGCCTGTGGAAAGCCCCCAGCCCAGTGACTGTACATGCTAAACTTTTTGTAAGGGTAATCTCTTTGTATTAGGATTAGAAGTGACCTAGGATACTTATTTAGTTGAGATAAAATTTTTCCTTGAATTGGCTGGCTAATAATGAAATAATGAACTGAACCCAAGTGCACATTATATAAACAGTATACATGCTGAGACATGGGGAGCAAGGGTGGAAGCTGTCATGAACAAGTCTCCAATTAAAAACATAGTAAAATAAAAACAAAACAAAACAAAACAGTGTTAACAAACCACAGCAGCATGGTCTGCAGCTGGAATCTATGTGCAATTTTACAGACAGACTGTGTTGCTTTCCCAGAATAGCAACAGGAGAAGGAGAGAGCGGAAACAGAGTTCTGGACTGTCCTTGTACTAAACATTCTTTTAAAGAAAACAAAATCTGAGAGACAACTAGAAGACAGCCACTGCACAGGACAAGGCTCTCACCAGGCACGGGATCACCTGGCCCCCGATAGACTTCCCGGCCTCCAGAACTACGAGAAATAAGTTTATGTGGTTTAAGCCAAAAGAAAAAACTCAAAATCTTTTATTTGTTAATATTTTAAAAACTCGAAAGCTCTGATATTACTTTAACAGGGAAAGGAAAGTTCTAGAGGGATGAATTGGAAAATGGCACATATTTAATTCTATCCTTAGCCATGAATTTGCAGGAAGGGAAATGAAAAACAAAATGAAAACTTGTAAAGTTTTATATCAATGAAGTAAAACAAAGAAAAAAAATAACTGAACAGTCATATGTAAGGGGCACTTTCTTAAAAATGCCCAGTATTTACTACATGAAATCATTTTACTTGGCGGCCAACATGAAAACAGCCTCTCTTTCTAAAAATAATGCCCCTCATGTTCTACCCTGGGATTGCAGGGCCTGTGGCCACCACTTCAAGGCTCCACAGGAGGAGACTGGGACTTGGGAGGCTTTGTCTTGGCTGTGAGCCAGGACTCCTGAATTCTACACTGCACGCCCAGGTGCCTCTCAGAAACCATGCAGATCCCCACCAAGCAGCCACATTTCCTGTACTCATCCAAGAATTACTGCATTTTCAGTATCAATAAGATAAATAAAAAATTTCCTAGGCCAGTGGTTGTCAACCAAGGGCAATTTTGCCCCACAAAGGACATGTGGCAGTGACTCTTACCTGGCCCTTGCCTGCCTTTCTTTCAGAACCCTCTGCCTCGTTGAGCTTTCTGGGGTGCCTTGAGGTATTTTACATGTTCCTGTCTTGCATATGGTGTTCTGACCACTGTGAAATTGCCTTCTGTCCCAGCTCCTCCACTTTTCAGCCTAGCAAACTCTATTCTCTCAAGGTTCTGTGCAAATAGTGTCACCTCTTTGGAGTGTCCCTGGGGCCTCCACAATTGATAGCTTCATACTTTGTACTCACTACTTATCATTTGTAAGTCTCTTTTCCCTCTAGAATGTGGACTTTTAAAATAAGGACTGTGTTGTGATCATTGTTGGAAATTTTTTTAATTAGAATTCATGAAAAATGCCTAGCCTATGGTAGGTACTGAGTGGATGGATTAATGGAGAGATGATGGATTGTTGGATGAAGGGACAGATAGAAGGATGGATGGGTGGATGGATGGTTGGATGGATAGATAAATGGATGGATGGGTATCAATATTTTTAAAGAGCAGACAGGATAGAAATTTCATATAATATCAGTTTCACAATAAATAACTTAGAGTTGCAAAATTTTACTCAATATGCAATGAAATAGTCACTGTGCTGTGAGCTTCAATTCAAGATATGAAACAGAAGGAAAATGATGGTACCTCTCATGGATTCTGCCAGAGATGATGTAGTCCTTGCAGAAAAAAAACTAAAGGAAAAGGTTCCATTGATGATTGAACCACTCAGCATTTTGAAAAGCAAAAATAACAACAGTTCTTGTATTTCCTGTTCCTATAGGTTACTGGGAACAAAATGACATCTCTAAACTTGGCCACCATATTTGGACCCAACCTGCTGCACAAGCAGAAATCATCAGACAAAGAATTCTCGGTCCAGAGTTCGGCCCGAGCTGAAGAAAGCACAGCCATCATTGCTGTGGTGCAGAAAATGATTGAAAATTATGAGGCCCTGTTCATGGTAGGTGGCCCTTTTTGGCAGGGCATCCTAGTAAACTGCCTATTGATTGTGTCTTGGTGGCGCAATGAAACTCACCCCACCTTCTGGTCTATAGTGCTGGTCATTGAATTCATAGAAAGGCATGCAGTTTCAGTAGGAATAGAAATTTACAACCTATGATATTATTGTAAGCGTGTGATTCCATGTTTAAACAAACATTCAAATTATAAATTTCATTTTGTTGTACCCTGAACAATGGTCACATTTTGGAGTTATTTAATTATGCATATAGCAGTATCCTTGCTCAAAATATTGATAAAATCATTCTCTTTGGAATTATATATGGCCTTCATGAATTTATATAGTCATAACCATCAGATACAACAGGCATCTCTTCCAAGGTCAATATTGACATTTTACCTCCTCCATGAAGCTTCACCTATCTTTTCTGTGACCTTCTCATGCCACTTACCCATGTCATTTCTCTGTCCCTTGAACCCCATTACTCTTCTTATTGATGTTTATCTTAACATTGTGCTACAGTAATTTTTTACTATTTTCCTGAGTAGATTATAAACACATTTAACACACAGGCTGTGCCCTTCTTATCTCCTCTCCGTATTCTCTGTACACTTTTGGAAGGCCCTTCATCTGGCAGGCACTCAATAAATATTTTTTTGATTTGTATTGAATTACCAGTTCCTGTTTTCCTTCAAAAAACTGCATTGCTTGCTCCAACTTCCCTTGAAACATTAGAACAAATGCCAACTCTCTTCTATTTCTGTTTGCCACTCATATTGCTTGTCAAATGTTACAGAAATTTTCTGTTTCTTCTCCCATTTTTCTTGTCAATGTGCAAACACCATAAATCTTACCTATTCCACTAGAGCCTTTTGTGTCTCTTCAAACAAGTGTGCTAGTCTCCTCCTTTCAATCTCCTCAGTGTTTTCTCTATATTTTTCAAATGCCTTGCATTAGATTTATTTTCATGCTTTTTCCTATACCAATTATTTTTTGTAAATTTGAGAGCCAGTGATTTAAAATCTTTGCTCTCTGTGTCTTACCTATGTGATTGTGACCAAGTAATTCAATACTTAATAAGCATCAATTTCAGTTTTATGAAATGGGAAAAATAAAAATATGACCTATTTCCCAGGGTAGTTCTCAAAATCATTTGATTTGTGAAAGTATTCTGCAAACTATAAAATTCTATGCAACTGTTAATTAATAATTATATTAGTTGGGCAACACGAGCTGGCTCAAATCTCAGTATACAACAGACATACATATTTTGTTGACATAGTTTAATCAGATGTTTGGTTGACAGCCTTACAGGTGGTGATTTAGACACCAAGCTCCTTGCATCTTGAGACACTGCAGTCCTCTGAGATTTATGGGCCAAACCTAGAAGGGCCGTCCATCACACCCACTCAAATCTCATTGGCCAGAACTCAGCCATAAGCCATATTTAACTGCAAGGGAGGCTGGGAAGTGTATTCCTGCTAGATGTCCAGGAGGCACAGAAAATGGATTTATCACAGCGAAAAATTCACTGAGGAAGAAGAGTGTCTTGCTCCTCTTTGAGTCTCTGAAACACTGTTCCTATGTTTCACACAGTAAGCTCTCAAAAAATGTGGAATTTGTCATTGATTCTATATAAATTTCACACTTAAGCCAAAATCCTCATAATTAAGTACATATTTGGATGAATCAAATGACTGAACTTATCAACATTTTCATCAAGTTTCAAGTCACATGTCTTTTTGCCAAGTAGTCTTGGTATTACTTCATACTCCCTGGATTTTTTTAAACAAAATAATACCTTAATTCTATTCAATCTTAATACCTTAATTCATCAATCTTAATTCTATTCTCTAAATTATGTATTCTAAGAAAAGTTCTCTATATGAAAGCACTAATCACCAGGCATTTCTTCACCTCAGATACTAAAAAAAATAGTTGCCACCATTTTAATTGTGCTATTCCTCCCCTTCCCATTTCCTGCCGCCTGGGCTACTAAAAACAGAAGAAAAACATCAGTTTTCCACCTCTTCCAACATTTTCCAAATCTGATCTTTTCCCCTCTTGATAGAAATTGATGTCAAGACTCTCCTGGGTAAAAGCTCCTATTCTGGTTCCCCAGTTGTGGTCTTTACTTCTCAGCGAGGCCTTTTTCTGACCACCTTTTCTAAAATACAGCCCCACCCACCAACTGCACACTTCCTCACTTCCTATTTCTTTTCCATGCTTTTACTCCTTAGCACTCACCACCACTAATACAGGGTTTTACTAATTTATCTTGTTTGTTGAGTGTTTGCCACTGAAATGTAAACTTCATGACAGGATGACTTTTTGTTATTTTCCATCTGCTTTCTTTACTGCATCACATCTGTGCCTGGCATCTGGTAGAAAAGAGAAATATTACTTGAATTAATAAGTGACTCAATGGTAGTTTTGTGACATATGATTTTCATATTACTAAACTTTACTCCTTATACATATGAAAAGCTTTGAGCAGGTAGGAATTAAGAATAGCTTTCTCAGAATAAATTAACCATTAACATAAGCATTCTTGACCTCCTTAGACAGATTATGGGAATTACATATTGAGAAAAATGACAGTGGGGTGGCAGGGGTGATGGAACAAAGATACCAAGCGGGGGTCAGTAAAAAGAAAACTGACTCTGGAACCAGAAAAATTTGCTATAGTCTTGTCTTTGCTCTACATTACCTTTGTGACCTCGTCTTCTCAGATTTCTGTTTCTTTAGTTATCAGAGGACTGGGTTAGAATAAATGATTAACCAAGATCTCGTTTAGTTCTAGAATCTGCATGATTCTGTGCCCTAGCACTGACTTCACCTCTTTTATTTCCATAAAGCACACAAGAAAATTAAGCTCATCACTTGGTAGATTTTCTTGGCATATTTGGTATTTCAGAATCCAGTTGGTTATACCAAAGCTGATGGCTAGTGTGGGTGGACAAAAATTTAATGATATATAGAGCTGTTTCATTTTGTTTTGTTTTTAAGAAACTTTCAGAATTAGTATAGTGATTCCAAACAAGGAAGAATAAAGCTAGACAGAACCTGATAGTTAAAGGTAGTTAGCAGTGTGCAGTTTCACAGTCCTTGGAAGGGTTTATGAGATCAGAAAGAGAGGCATTGCTTCCCACTGGCATTAGAAAGGAAGATTTATTAAAAAGGTGGTTGTGAGTTTGTCCTTGAAGGCAGAATGCACCCTGGAGGCAGCAATTCCACAGAACTGATGGAAGGGATATAAAAACCCACAGAGGTCTGGCAGAGATCCAAAGTTTGTTCTTAGTGTTAATAATGTCCTTCATTTCCTGATGCCTCTCCCAAGGGTCCAGTATCTAAGTTAATTGGAAATGGCAGAAAAGAACCTGACTGTCCCATAATACAGAAGAGGTGCCTAGATTCAGAGGCTGACACACTGTTCAAAAGCCTGACCAGGACAGTCTTTTGCACCAATTGTTTGCTTTTCAGGCACTGTGTTGGAAACCCTAGAGCTAATCATGATAACAGCCATCTTGAGCACTCTATTGAATAGCAACTACCAAAGCAGTAGATTGTAATAGTGGTTCTCAAACTTGAGCATACAGCAGAATCACAAGGAAATTTGTCAGACATTCAGATTCCTGGACCAAACTCCAGAGAATCAGATTGAATAGCACTGCGGTGAGGCCCAGGAACCTGCACTTCCTCATGAATGCCTCCAGGGCATTCTGGTACTTTTGTCACCACGCCTTGGGAAACCATATCTTGGGAAACACCCACGACGGTGGGAAAACTGAGCTTTGGAGTGAGCTACTAGAATTCAAGTCCCTGCTCAGCCATATATTTGCTATGTGATCATGGCTCCATGCTTAACTTTCCTACGCCTTCATTTTCCTGTTGTAAAAAGAGAGAGATGGAGTTAACCTACTTTATTGTATTATTTTGAGAATTAGAAATGACATTTTAAGGCACTTTGGACAAGAATTGACATATACTAGGCACTCAAAAAAGAAGGTCGCTGCTATTGCTGTATTACATTGATAAGATGTCTGCCCTGTCAAAGCAGGTGTTGTTACCAGACTAAAGGAGTCCATTTCCCTGTGCGCATCAGAGCCCAATAAGATACAGACAGGAGCTTGCAGCAAAGAAAGTAGGGGTTTAATATTAGGAAGTGATCCACGCCCAGAGTCACAGGTAGCTAATGTTCAAAGACCTGGCTTCCTGATGGCTTCCAGGGGATGGGTTCTATAGGGGGAAATCCTTAATCTTGGTCACTAAGGGAGTTGGGTCATGATCAGGGTCATGGTCTCTACTGATTGGTCGGTGCTAAGATAGTTGATCAGTGCATCTGGTCTTGATGTCAGCCACGGTGCCGCTTGGTCTGGTTTTGCTGCTTTTCTGGGCCTGGAGCTGAAACACAACTGAGGCCTAGATGTTATCTCTAGTTTGACTGAAACCCTGTCTCTGGGGTCAACAGACCCGAGGCTTTGTTCCTAAGAGTATTTGATGCCGACCAGGACCTCATTGTCCTGAGCGCTCGATGATTAAGGGAGTAGACATGCAAGGGAGAAGACAACAGGTGAGTCAGGGGCTGGAAGAGGCCAGTTTGAATCAAAAGGAAAGAAAGAAGCAAAGGTCATATTGAAGAAATGAAGTTACAGTGTCTCCTTTGCAAGGAAGCACACCCTGACCGCTCTGTATAACAGTGTGACCTACATTTTGTTGTTTGTTTGTTTTTGATTCAGTGTCTATACTCCTTAGATTCCTTTACCTTTAAATCCTGACCCTCCATTTCTAATATCAACAACAATTTAAAAACTGGATAACATAAAATGATCCTCTCTGGGAACACTGGGAATAAAAGAGAAGGATTATGCATGCATATCTAGAAGTGGCCACTGGTATCATCATAAGACAGAAAAGCATTCACTGACCCCATCATTAATACATTAATTGGTCTGGAAGTTGTTGCTTCTATAACTGATACTGGGAATCCCAGAGAAAAC